CGATACAATAGCAAGATGACAAATTACGACAATAATGTAGATATCAAGAAAACAATAACGATGTGAAGTTTTGGCTCAACGGTAATGCTGTCACATGCAAGAAAAAGGAATTTTAAAAAAAAATTCTTAAATTATAAGTGATACATGTATTAATTTTTATAAGCTGATTAATTTTTATTAATAGGTACGGTAACATTTTGGCATGTACTATCTTAAAAAGGGGGTACATGTTATATTATATTAAATATTTATTTATTATATAAAAAATAATTGATAAAAAAATATATTAAAAAAATTATAATATGTTTATATATTCTTCGTTTTTTATGTTAAAAAAAAATATTTAATTTTTAGTGTTGGAATCTAAAGAAATAAAATATTAAAAGTGTAAAACAAAATCTATTCTCAAAAATCTATAATTCAGAGCATAAATAATATTCACTTAAAATAATTAAAATATTTTGAAGATGAACTTTGAACGCGAATGTGTTCAAATTTTTTAATGAATTGAACGCGAAAGTGTTCTATTTATTTGAAATGTTCTCATCACTAATATAAATCAACCCACAACTCTGTTTGATAAGATTTGGGAATATCACCCATATATTTACTAATCCCGACCTATATAGACTATGGTAGACTGGGATTAGCAAATTAGCACGATCGACATAATTTTAAAATATTAATCTTTTTTTTTCAAAATTTGTAAAACACCTTCGTTGATAAAGATCAACACATTTTCTTAATTTAAACTTATAAATAATATACAGAATTTAGTGAAAACTTGAACGATGCTGGTGCATTTAAATTACTAACCAAACTTTGACTTATTAAACGTATTTTTATTAAAAAATAAAATATTCCTAAAATCCCAAAAATCTAATAAACTGAGAATTGACATCATATTCATAACTCCAAAAATAATGAAGGATACTTAAAATTTTATGTTTATTACACAAAATGAGTCAAAAAAATAAAATATATTTAAAATCCCAAAAATCTAATAAACTGAGAATTGACAACATAATTCCAAAAATAATGAAGGAAACTTAAAATTTTTTTCATTTTATGTTTATATAAGTTAATTTTACAGAATATGAGTCAAAAAAATAAAATATTTTTCCACGTCAATTCGGCGCGGAAAATTCGGCGAGGTGTCAATTCGGCGCAGCGTCAATTCAGCGCGGCGACAATTCGGCTCATATTAATACAGCTGTAATTTACTATAAATTTATTAGTATAAAAAAAAGAATGATTAAATAGAAGTCATTTTGAATGTTAGTCCTATTAATTATTTCCTTATATTTTTTACAAAAATCTCAATTTTATTTACTAAATGTGTAATATCAATAAAAAATTTAATAAAATCAAAAAAATTAACAACTAATATTTATACCGATTTATTTGGTTGACCAATTTACCATATTATAAGATATGTTGATTAGTAGCCAATATTATGTAAGCCTAGAGATTTTGCGCATAGATCTAAAAAACGTTTGGAACACGATCTCGAATCTTACATACTATTTTGGCTATAATCTTAATCTACCGTTTTTCAAAATAGACTCAAATCGGCTGTTTAACAACACTAATGTTGAAAAATTGCGCATTAATTCGTCGGGCCGATTTGGGCTTATTTTTAAAAACGGTCGATTATGATTTTAGCCAAAATAATATGTAATATTAGAGATGGAGGTCCAAACCTTTCTTTTTCTTTATTTCTTTCATTATTCTATGCGCAAATTCTCCAGGGTTACATGGTTCACGTCAATACGGCGCGGCGACAATTCGGTGAAGCGTCAATTCGGCGCGTATCTATTACAGTTGCAATTTATTATAAATTACTTACTTAATATAAAAATATAAGGATGATTAAATAGAAGTCATTTTGAATGTTAAAATTATTAATTATTTCTTCATTTATTTTTACAAAAATCTCAATTTTATTTACTAAATGTGTAATAAAAAAAAAATTAACCAATATTTATACCTATTTCTTTAATGAACCAATATACCACATTATAAGGTATGTTGATTAGTGGTCAATATTATGTAAGTCTGGAGATTTTACGCATAGAAGGAAGAAAGAAAAAGAAAGATTTGACCTCTATCTCTAATCTTATATATTATTTTGGCTACAATCTTAATTAACCGTTTTTAAAAATAGACCCAAAATACTGATAAGTACTATAATGTTAAATCCTAAATCCCCTTTTCACGTCTAATTTTGGACAATAAAAAAAATTAATAAAATTATAAAAGTTTAAAAAAATAATATACCCCCTGATAAGTAATAAGCCCAAAATCTCGGATAACATTGGCTACTAATCAACATATCTTATGTGGTAAATTGATCAACCAAAGAAATAGGTATAAATATTGGTTGATTTTTTTTGATATTACAAATTTAATTTTTGATTTATAATAGAAAAAATTAGCCAAAGCATAATATTTTTTTTAAAAGGATTAATAGAATTTAAATATTTTTAATAAATCTAAAAAATGAGTCAGTCTTAATTTGATTTTTCTTGGATCATGGTTGGGTCTATTTTTAAAAATGGTCGATTTAAATTCTAGCCATAATAATATGTAAGATTTGAGATTGAGGTACAAACCTTTCTTTTTCTTTCTTTCTTCAATGCCCAAAATCTCGGCTCACTTAACATTGGATACTAATCACCATACCTTATGTGTTAAATTGGTCAACCAAAGAAATAGGTATAAATATTGGTTGTTAATTTTTTTTGATATTACACATTTAGTAAATAAAATTGAGATTTTTGTAAAAATAAATATGAAGAAATAATTAATAGGGCCAACATTCAAAATGATTTCTATTAAATCAACCTTATTTTTTTATACTAAGTAATAATAAAAAATTGTAAGTGTAATAAATACACGCTGAATTGTCGCAGCGCTGAATTGTCGCCGCGCGTGATACTATTTATATTATAGGTATTGAAATTATAATTATACTAATTGAAAATAAAATTATAAATTTCCAGTGTCATTAAATATAAGAAATTTGACATTCCAATTATCATAGATAAAAAATATAAGTGGCTTATCATGACATTGACTAAAATCAAAAAATAAACTAAAAAGATTTTGTCCGACTTGATTCATTGAAAGACAAGAGTCGGTGAAACTCTCGATTGTACTATATGATGTTGTATTTGCAGCACTGGAATTTTATATATCAAGCAAGAAAAAAGATTCATATTAAGCCACAATATTTAATATCTATTAATTGTGTTTATTTTTTATTTAATTATACATATTATTTTAGCAAATGCTATAAAAAATTGATTTGGATTTAAAGGAGGTTATAGAGCAAGGATATTGTTGAAATATTAATTAATATTAGAGAGGATGTGGATAAAAATTTCATGAAATATGAGAAAGCAAATGAGATTGCTAATATATTTCGGATTGAAATTTTTAAACCTTGAGTAGTTTCTAGACAATCCAATTGCTCAAATATTGACATCTACAATTGAGGATTTTTATAAAATAAATATTTTTATTCATCATATTGATACATTTTTATTTAAATTAAAGAAAAGATTCATCAGTCATATTTTTATTTAAAAAAGCTTTTTTTTTCTTTTGCCGGTTGAAACTGTTGATTACGCTTGAAACACGAGAGGATATTAGGAAAATCTCAATATAGTAGGCTCAACACGAGAGGATATTAGGAAAATCTCAATATAGTAGGCTCATATGATAAGTTACTTGGTGATATCGTAATAATGATTGAATAGAATATACTTTGAGACGAAAAAATGCTCTGCAGACCCTTCCATGTGTATTTGCACTTTAGGTTCCCAATTGAAAACATTATTAATTATTTTAGCTACATTACCAATTAGTACCTGCACTAATGAAAGGTCTTTTTCAACTTTAAAAAGGTTAAAAACCTATTTAAGAAATATTACCGGTGAAAAATCTTTGGATTAGCCCTATTAAATATTTATAAGGAAATTATTCTAGATAAAAATTTGATTCTAGATGAATTAGCAAAATCTGAGAAAAGTAGATATCTCTTTATAAATTCAAATCAAAATGTTAAACGATTGATTTGGGTCTATTTTTAAAAACTTAGCCAAAATAATATACCTTATTATGTGATAAATTGTCCACCAAAGAAATCGGTATAAATATTGATTGTTAATTTTTTTTGATATTATTAAATTTCTTTATTGATATTTGATATTACAAATTTAGTAAATTAAATTGAGATTTTTGTAAAAAAAATATAAAGAAATAATTAATACTAACATTAAAATGGCTTCTATTTAATCATCCTTTTTTTATACTAATAAATTTATAGAAAATTGCAGCTGTATTAGATATGCCCCGAATTAACGCTGCGCTGAATTTTCCGCGTCGAATTGACGTGATACCATTTTTAAAATCCCAAAAATCTAGAAAAAAATGACTAATCTGGAATTTACATCATAACTTCAAAAATAATGTAGAAAACTTAAAATTTTTTCATTTTATGTTTATATAAGAAATGAGTCAAAAAAATAAATATTTTTAAAATCCCAAACTTCTATAAAAAAATGACTAATCTGAGAATTTACATCATAACTTCAAAAATAATGAAGGAAACTTAAAATTTATTTTTATATTATGATTATGTGTTTGTACCAAATAAACTAATACAGAGCAAAAAATTATGCCCCTATGATTCATATTATTTTTAATTAAAAACTAACTTTTAATCTAATACGCCATCTAACGGTTATTATTAAAATTATTATGTCGGTTATATTTTCTATATAATATATGATGTATAATATAAATATATGGACTACTCTTTCTTCCATACTCTATTTTATTTATGTAGATAATTTGAATTTTAGATAAATTTGTTGTTACAATTAAACCATTTTATTATTATTTTTAAAATAAAATTGATAGGCTATAAAATAAATATAAATTTTACCCCTCAATTCTCAATTTACCTGTCAATTCCCAGTTTACCTGTCAATTCTCAGTTTATTATTCAAATATTTTACTAAGTACCATTTATGAACGATGAATCTCAAGATTTTTGCCCACATTGTGAATCAATATTGCCATTACCTGTTAATACAGATATTTTGAAATGTCGAAATTGTACTTATCAAATTAATTTGCTTAGTTTGTATTTTTTACGATTTTAAACTAATTATTAATTTAGATTATAGCAAAAAGTCTGTTAAATATATTTTAAATATCAATGATGTGAACAATTTAAAATACATGAAAAACAAATCTGAAGAGCATTTTGGGCCATTAGTTATTTTCATAATATATAATAAATGATTATTTGATAGGTTGATAGAGTTTGTCCTAAATGTGGAAGCAAAAAAATGTCATACACTACACAACAAACTCGTTCAATTGATGAGGGGCAAACAATATTTTATATTTGTCCTAAATGCAAGTTTAGAAATATATTTAGTATTTTATATACAAGACACAATTAGATATCAAGAATCTGAATATTCATAATGGTATTTGGGCCTAAAGATTACAAAATTAAATATATTTATTTTTTAATTAACTTGTTGCAATATTTTTATAAATTAGATCAAATAAAAAGTTTTTAACATCTGTTTTTATAATTCACTGTTATATTTTTTTTAATTTGAATTTTTTAAGAAGATGACCTTGATATATTATGTTAATCCACCCAAGTTGTGTATTTTAGTTTTTGAATCAAATTTTCTTATTAGTATGAATAATAAACTATTATTTGATTCAAAAATTAAATTCTTTAAAATATTTTCCAAAGTGTAAAAATGGATTATTAGAATTTAAAAAAGTGATAGAAATCTACAATTAAATCTTCATATATAACTACCTCTTTATGACTATTTCTTAGTCATAATTTTCTTTTGGTCCCTTTAGATTAGATTATTCCTCTTTGTGGTAATTATATATTTATAAATATTGGAAAACTTTCAATTTTATATTAATATATTCATAAATATGAATAATTTCTGCAAGGAGCAAAATTGATAGATACTTTTATTAATAAATTGAAAAGTCATTACGAAAATAAAGAGAAGACAGTTCTGATAATAATTCCAAAAATAAAATTGAACATAAGCAAATTCTAAAATGAAGATATTTAAAATGTTCTGGTAAAGAAAGTTGTTTGTTGTAGAAATATGCCTTGTCACTAGTGATTTATTGCTTAAAAAGGTGGGGGGTGGGGGTATATTTATTTTTTGCATATCAAAAAATATGATATATTTAAGGATGTACCGATATTTTTATTGGATCGGGCCAATATTTCACCCATTTTAAAATATTGGTTTTCGGACAATATTATAAAATTTGCCGATCGAATCCGATATAAAATGGCGTCTTTAACAAAAATAAAATGTTATATTTTTAAAAAAAGTTATATCTAAAATCATTATTTTTAAAAAAAGTTATATCTAAAATCATTATTTTTATAAATAAAATTGAGATACATTTTTATGTTTAATTTTTTTAATAATAATTAATAAAAATTCTGCCATATTGTTATTTTTTGCGCATTCTGTTTATAAAAGTGTGCGATAATCTCTTCAGAATCTGTTTTTAGTGAAGCTGGTGATATTGACAGTTACCATCACCTCAGCCTGACCACTGATAAATTGGAAATTTTGGTATTTCTAAAAAAAAATCTTCGATATATTAATGTTAAATATTTATTTCAAATTTTATAATATATTTGTTTATTACTTATTATGTATATAGATTAATATTATTACTTATTATATAAAAGTGATTTAACAATTAAAATTTTTTATATACTTTTAGAATTGCAATTGAATTGAATATAAACTATAACTGATTATTATAATATATTTAAATAACATAAGTTATGGTATAATTAAATTATATATGTTATACTAATAAAAAGTATATTAAAATTTTAATTGGTATCTTTACAGAATACAAAATTATATATGATATCAGATCGGTTATCGGCCGATATCAATTTAATATCGGGTCTCGGTACACCCTTAGATATATATATAATAGAATATTTTAATTACAAATATGAATATTTTAGGGCTGTGCCAATCTAAAAGTTTTTCACCAATTTGATCTGATATTACTAAAAAAAAGCTGATCTGATATATGTATATTGATTTTTATTTACCATCTATTTTTTAACCAATGTCGTAAAAATATCAATATTTTCTATTTTAAAAAGAACCAACTAACTTTCATAAATGATTAAATATTTTATTTTTTATTCTCCAAAAATTGCAATTTTTTTGGGTGAATACAGTGCTATTAAACAGCTACATTTGCCAATTTTTAAAAAGGGCGAAATCAGGATTTTAGCCAAAATATTATTACCTAATTAAACCTCAAAATTTCTCTCATAGAAATCCAAACTTTTCTATGCAAAATGAATAAACTTTGGTAGCCATTGGCGAAATTGAGCCATTTCACCGTGTTGCCTCAAAATCTAGAATATGGAAAATAATATTGTTGATAAAAATTTCCAGTTTCTGAGTGAAGATTAGACAATTGAGCATCTTTAATTAATAAATATATACATATTTATAATTCATTAAATTTGCTATTAATAATGTATATATTAGAGGTCTGCAACTGGCCGGTGGATGGGCCAATTTTTTAAAAGAATGGGCTGGCGGGTTAAAAAATAAATCTAAACTGTGTGCATGGGTTAAAAAAAAATTTAAAAATGGGCAGGCGAATTAAAAAATTTTCAACTTTTACTTTGTATTTAAATAAAGATTTTTCAAAAAAAATGCTTTAAATAATTTCAACATTTTTAATGCCTAAGTTCCAAAACTGAGAATGTTGTTGGAAGAAAGTAATATAATAATAGATTTGATTTTGCATGCAAGAATAACTCTCGTGGATGAAAATCCGATTTTAATTCTAAGCAATTCATGTTCAAACTTTTTGAATGATATTGAAGAAAAAAACCATTTTCTTCATGTTCAATTCATTAAGCTAAAAATACTCTGACGGTATTTGAATGAGGAAATGTAACTACAAAATTATATAGGTTATTTGCAACTTGATTATATTATAATTCAAAAAAAAATTGATGGGATAAATCGTTATTTTTGACTTATTGAAACATTATATTTATTGGAATTTAAGTTATGCAATCTTTCAGTATATTGTATGATTGTTTGTGGAAAATGTCAAGCTATTTTTTATAAGCTTCAACTTTATCAATCTCAGATCAGAAAACTCACTTAACGAAGATTTTATGTTACCAAAAAAATTATGTTTATATTGAGCCTTTATGATGTTTATTACATCTTTTATTACTGATAATAAATTGATTGTCATTGTGTCATATGATTCAGGCATTTCAATCATTTTGTTGCCCTGGGAAATTCTTTGTTCAGAAATTTGTCATATAGTCTCAGGGGTTGAATTAGCTTAAATACTCTGACATTTCTTTTATATAGGCCAGAAATTTCAGACTAAGTGAATTTGTTAGTGTAGACATTGAGAAATATATCCATAAATCTTTTCATAAAATTCAAAGGAGTCATGCCTCATGATCAAAAATATTAAATATAAAAGTTGATAAAAAGTTCAAAAAGATTGTTTCAATCTATATCTTTTAAATCTGGGTTTCCTACTAAACATGGTAAATAGTATGTAAAACTTTTGATTAAATTTGAAACAATTACATCTAAAGATGAAAGGTTTATAGATGCTGTAATGAAGTCCTAAAATTTGAGGCGAGAGCACGCCATTCTAAAAAAAGTAAGAGGCACGCCAGAGCTAAAAATAGAGGTAAATTTTTGTTTCCCCAAGAATTTGAGGCAAAATTTTTTATTTATTTTTTAAATAGTTTATCAAACATTTCATATTAAATACATCATTATATCTTGCTATATTATATAAAATAACTATTTAGAAAATTATATAAAAATTGAAATATAATGCATAAATCGGAATTATAAAAAAAAGATGGAAAAAAACTGAAATATTAGCCATTGCGAATCTTTTTCAATATTTTTAATAAAATTAATCGCATGTTTCCTTAACTGGTAATCGTTTGTCACTTGTGACTTGACAGCCACTTTTTAATATATGGGGAAGAATTCCAATGTCTGAGAAGAGAAGCCCGTTAACGTTTCTCATCATTAAGCTAGAAATATTTTTATCTTAAGACTTGCATGCAAATAGGTGATATAATGATATTCATAAGATACCGCTTTAGCATTGAGCAGTTCGTACTACACGTAGTTGTGTTAATGCAATTTGAAACACGGTGCCATTTATTAATTCCATTTCTTTTATCCCATTTTTTGCAAAACCTCACCAAGCTTCAGTTGAAAACAAATATTTTTCTCTTCCCCATAACTAATGTGAGGGTCTGCTGACCAGTTATTTTTTTTTATATATACCATATCAGATAGGATAGCTAAAAAAGACAAAACTATATAATTAGCATCCATTACCTTATTTTGCAAATTGTCTGAAGGCAGTAATGAATTGATTTCATTGATAGCAGAGTGCCTTTTGTTTTCTTACAATATTATTAATCCAAATTTATTTGTTTCCCTAACTTCTTGAGCTTTTTCATATGTTCTTTTTTAGAAATATTAAGTAAACATTCATTTAGACATCATAAAAGAGATTAAAAACCTACCAGGCATACCCTTAAACTATTTTAGAATACGAATGGTTCACTTTACTGATTTTCAGTTTTAGGTGAACTGTTTTTTTTTGTTTGAGGCCTTAAAGACAGATTGGATAATTCAAATAAAACATCATACATCAAGGCGAAATCTGATAAGAATTTGCCACTTTCTTGAGTAAACAGCCCGTTAAATTATGCAGGGTTGTTAGAATTTTCTGAATTTTGAAATGTGTATTACAATCTTTAGTAACTAAGGGCCCAATTTACACTCTATTTGATACAACGCCTTTTGATTTTTATGCTAAACTATGTGTCAACAGCGTCTACATGACAAAATTTTCACTGGATGCAAACCCCCTTCAAAAAGCTTTGCCTACCCCCTAAAAAATTTCGCCGCCTTCGGCGGCGGTGTCTGCCTATTATTATTTTCACCTTTTTAATTTATTGGTACTCTTTTTAGATAATTTATCTAGGATAACTTAAATTAATCCATCTCTACTACCAACTATCAATATTTTGTGAATATACAGAATTTATTTTTTAGATAATGAATTCAATTAAAACCTCCATTATTTACAATGAATTAATTATTATGGCATTATGAGCTTGCCGAAATATCAACCTTTTAAATTACATTTAAAAGGATAGCAGAAAGTTTTATTTGGAAAACAATGTGTACGATTGTTGTCAATATATAGATTTGGTCGATGAATTGTATTATAATAATTCTATAATAAAAGTATTAATTTTTACAGCAATAAATTTTGTATCTCAAAATTTAATAGATAAGCCCCCAAAAAATTTATCCTACCCCCATTAAAGCAGCCTATCCCCTACCCCCCTCAAAAAAATAGGATGCAAACTGTTCCTACCCCTCCCGCTCATGTAGACGCTGTGTGTCAATAAAGGCTTTAGAAGAATAACACCTGTAACATATTTTATTGCACTGGACACCGGTAATTCCAAACTGAATTATACAATGCCAGGGTAAAATCATTGGATATCATATGCAAAGGAGTGTTGCTACGCTTGATTTCTTCCCATTCATGACACTGGCGCCATCGTCAGTGTCTACATGACAGGATTTTCATTAGATGCAAACCTCCTTCAAAAACCTTTACCTACCCCCCTAAAAATTTACGCCACCTTCTGCGGCGATATTTCCCCATTATTATTTTAACCTTTTTAATTATAATGATACTCTTTTCAGAGAATTTATAAAGTATAACTTAAATTAATCTATCTACTACCAACTATCGATATTTTGTGAATATAAAGGATTTATTTTTTAGATAATAAATTCAATTAAATCTTTCAATTCATTATTATAACTTTTGAGCTTGCTGAAATATCTAAACCTTTTAAATGTAATTTAAAAGGATAGCAGAAAGTTTTATTTGGAAAACAATCTGTATGATTGTTTGCAATATATAGATTTGGTCGCAAAATTCAATCGATAACCCACCAAAAAATTTATCCTACCCCCATTAAAGCCGCCTACCCCCTCCAAAAAATAGGATGCAAACTGTTCCTACCCCTCCCGCTCATGTAGACGCTAGCCATCGTTAACAAAAGAAAACCAATTTTTTTGCAAAACAATTTTAAAAAATCCAGCAGATTTAAGAAGATCCAGTAGGGTTATGAACTATCCCTTTTGCTTGATTCCAGTTCAATCAGATCTAGATATATAAAAATCGGTTCATCAAAGGATCTCAATATCGATCTTACATAAATAACCAGGGCTGATTTTTTTGACAACGTTATAGATTTATCAGAGTTATCTACCAGGATAGTGATTTTGGATTGTAAAATAATATTTACAATAAATATGTTAAATATCTAAAGCATTGTGCTTTTACAATTCAAAATTAACAAATGGCGATTTATGTTTGCAAGATGTTGTGTTTACAACATATTTTTTTTAATCACACCTTTTTTTCTATTAAATTTTAATTGCCCCCTTCTTTGCTATTAACATTGACAACCTTTCAAAAATTGAAAGGATAAACAACTATTCTATTTCTATTTTTGTAAAGACATATCACCACATTGCAATTGAGGAATATAAGATACCTGATTGGTTGTTTGAAAAGATTACATAATAATCCCAACAAGTTTTTGATGTTTTTATTAACTTAAAAATATAAGCATATACATCGAGGAAAAAAACGTATATAAGGATGGAATTGATTCTTTTTAACAATTTTTATCTTCTTTTTTTGCTTTTTACATTTTTGGAAACGTTCGTTTTTATTCCTGGATAATATTTATGTTTTAACTAGATATTTTTATAATAAAAATTGACCTGTGTCTAATTCCATCTGCTGTCTTCCTAAATTAATAAACTGAAAATAAATTGACTTGTGTCTGTCTAATTCTTTCTACCGTCTTGAACTGCCTCCATCCATCATGGTTCATTCTAAACCCTGAGCTGGTGCGCCAAATCCTATAACCATCCTCGTGCCCTCTACGTTCGTTACCCATAATGACCCTAGTACCAATATAGCACAAGATAAAACGCAGCATTAAATATTATATTGGTTAATGTGATTAATGATTTTTAATGCAATCTCTGGCAGTATTTTTTTTTTGGTTTTATAACCTTTATAAGCAGCTTTGTTTAATTTTGCCTTGTAAATGTCTGCAAATTGCGCCATTTACTTGATATATGCAGTCTTTGTGGGAGGGCAAGGTTAGAGCTATTAAACGGCTAGTAAAAACGGATACAATACACTATCCATTTCTATCGGAAATTTTTTTAACCAATAAAAAAGTGTAAGTTCTTTAATTAAAAATGTGCAACCATTATATTAATATACCACTGTTTTGTTTATAAAATATTATGTTTATTTAATGATGACAAAATAATATGCTAAAATGCCATTTGAAAATCTTAAATCTTTAGAAAGGGGCCCGCCATGTTCCCTATTTTTTAAAAAAAAATTCTTACGGGGGACTCGCTAAAATTTAAAATAAGCATACGTATAAATTTTATCTTTTTTAAAGAAAATAAATATTTTAAATATCCTCTTATTAAAGGCAAATTCTTTTGCCGAACCGTGATAAGAAGATTTTAAAATTAAAAGTGTACATACATTGAAATTTATCATTGAAAGGCATTTACGAAATCTTTTTCTATAGCGTCAACTAAGACCAATGATATTGACTACAAATGAATCTTCCAAATGAATCTTCAGTTTTGATTAGTATTTATTAATATATGAGTTTAATAGGTTTTTTAAAAAAAATATTGATATATTTTTTAGATGTTTTATTATTATATAATAGTGTATATTTACTTTTAAATAATTATATATATATTTTTTTAAATATTTTAATTAGATATCACTTTTTAAACAATAAAGACGAACGGGTCAATTAATTTCTTTAATGTCCTTATAGGGTACATAATTAATTTAAAATGTTTTTATAAAAATTTAATAAATTGTCAAAATAAGATTATGTATTTCCATTTTAATATATAAAAATACCCCTCCCCCCTACACCCCTTCCAAAATACCTAATGACCGCCTATGAAAACAAAACCCCATTCTAGGAACCTTAATATTTTTATTAATTCAAATTTGTTAAAGATAATTCTAGTCTTAAAAAGTGTGTGCTATTTAAAGATCTGCATAATTATCAAAATTAATGTAACAGTTTCTATAATTTTAACAAATATGTTGCAAATAGTTCTTGCATAATTGAAACTTGGAGACTAAATTTATATGTATAAATTTTTATCTAATTGAAGATCATTTTCTGACCGACGACTTTCCAGATATACAACAAATTTAAGGCAAATTTTTGATTCACCCGTCCTTGATGTGTAATTTGTTAATAATTAAAAAAATATAAATGAAAGTTAAACTAAACTAAGCATACCTATATATTTAGATTTATTCATTTGACGTTCTAGAAGAGTTATTATTGTATGAATAAATAAAAATTCTTTATTATAAGTGGTATAAAAAATCATTCTAAAAGTAAAAAACATATTTGTATCACGGTTATAATTAAACTTTATTTTTTTTATTAGGGTATTTTTTTTCATGTTATGTATGGGTAATATAATGGATGCTAAATCTTGAGAATGCTGATCTATTAACTTTTATCCTATTTGGAAACTAATTATATATTTCTAGCAAACTAATAAATTATAGAATATAATATTTATACATTATGCTACATTAATGACCTGAATTTCAAGATACATGCTAATAAACTTTACAAAACTGTACTATATATTGTGAACATGAAACAATAAATTATATAATTACATTAGACACATTATTTTACTTGTAATATTCAGGATGCCTTCTAGCATTCCTGACATCATTCCATTAAACATTAAGAGAAATTCTTCGCTTTCTCCACAAAGAGAGAATCTATCTCCTATAACTCTCAAAAAGAGTATAGGTTTGTCTAGTGGAGTGGCTATGATAGTAGGAACAGTTATTGGTTCAGGAATATTTGTATCACCGTCAGGCGTAGTCAAGGAAACAGGGTCATCGGGTTCTGCCTTGATTGTGTGGGCAGCAGCGGGCTTGTTTTGTGGCATAGGTGCGAAATGTTATGCAGAGCTGGGCACAAGCATCCTTAGATCAGGTGGAGACTATGCATATTCTCAGGAGGCCTTTGGATCATTGCCCGCCTTTCTATATTTATGGTCAGCCCTGCTCGTTATCATCCCTGCTGGAAACGCTATCATTGCTTTAACATTCGCTAATTATTTGGTGAGACCTTTTATTTCTGATGCTTTTGAGGATTGCGCGACCCCTCACAGAATTGGAGTCATTCTAATTTCTATTTCTAGCATAGGTAATACATGCAAGTTTTAATCTAAATAAATTTTAAATTACTTTAAGAATGATCAAATTTATTATTGAAAATCAGAATTTGTAAAATATTAGAATATTTTTTAAAGAAATCATATAAGATCAAATGAATTTATTATATTTAAGCTGGTCGGCAAATTACAATCAACAATTTCCTTGAGGTTTGGCCCTACAGATTATTTAAGATTAAATATTGTCAATTTAATTAGTTACTAGTCTGAATTATCAAATTTCAAATGTATTTTAGAAACAAACACATTGAATTAAAAAAAATTTACCAACTAATTTGTTTGAGTTAATCTAGGTATAAGAATATAAAATAAATATTTTACATTAATAAAAAACTCGAATCTATGCGTTGGCATTTGGAAATCCAACGAATTCAATATTCCACGACATATTTTTAATAATCAATAAATATAATATAATTATTAAATTTTGTTCATTATACCTTGGTATTTTACAATAAATAAAGGTTTTGAAAAAAAATTGAGTGTTCATGATTTAAAATTAAAATTTAAATAATCTATAATAATCGCAAGATATCAGTGATGCGGTCTAGTTTTATATATTTTTTATTTGTTATAAAACATATTTTATTGTTTGACTTGTAGTATTTTTAGAATCTCCTTAAAATTTGCAGTTTATTGATATTATATATCGAGATATTTAGTCTTCAAAAAAAAATAGTTAAAATTATTTCTAGGAACTTTTGAAAGAGTATATATTTTTCATTATAGTGTAGTTGATATTAAATATAAAAATATAATTATTAAACTTTATTTGAATAGCAGCTGATATAATATGTTATCAAAATGTAATAGCATTTTTTCTAAGATAAAATTAATAAAGGTGAAAAATATAGAAATAGAGTTTACGGGAAAGGATAAGGGATATAAAAAGGAAGCTAGGAGAAGGGAAGATAGAAGGCATAGACATGGAAGGTTATTCAATGGCAGAGATAAAACTTAGATAGTTAGAGCAAATTAAAAAAAATTTATTAAACCAAAAATTAAATCTGATATCCTTTTGTTTTGTTAATAAATCTGTCAATTCTAAAATTAAATTTATAAAATAAATAAAATTGTGAGAGCGATAAATTATCAATATTTTCTGCAAATTTCATTAAATTCTATTACAGGGTCTAAAGCTATGCGCATTCAAAGTTGGGCAAATAGAATTCGAACTCTCCAATACGAAAAAATAAAAATAATTATTTTGCAAACTGCATTTCAGCCCCCCTCCCCTCTAAAAATTACCTGTCCTCGTAAATATAATTTTAAGCTAATAAAAAATTTTCCCTATAAACCCCCCCCCCCCAACCACCCACATCTCCCTTCTCCCCAAAAGATATACAATATATCACAAAGAAGAACTCGAAAGAAAAATTAGTAAAAGTTAATAATTTAAAATAAAAAAAAATAATGAAAACCCAAAATTATTTTATAAAATTATAATATAGCCAAATGCCTGCAATAAATGGACCTAAAGACCTCCAATAAATTTATGGCGGGAAAACCAGCTTAATAGTAATTTCCCTCCTTATAGGAAAATCCTATATACGCCTAAGCATTCACTTCACTACCTAATTTACTAAAAATTATGACCTTATAATAATGAAATTTACATTTAAGCAGACAATAACAAAACAGTAAAGATGAATTGAGTATGATTAAAATATTAAGGCGAGAAAAAGTTTATGCAATCAAAAAGTTTTTGCAGGAATTTCCTAACAGAAGCTAGCTTATCGCAGCTTTGAATTGATTGATTGCATTTATTGATGCTACCGGATCTGCAGAAAAATGGTATGGTAGTGGTGAGTGGAACCACGCACAGCTCGTAAAATCTTGCTATATTGGAACACTAATATTGAGCTAAGGTGGCCACCCTGGCACTTACAGAACAATTCGTCAAGTATCCAGAGAAACGGTGGAATGTTTAAAAAAGAAACAAGCCTAAGACAGCGGATGCGAATAAGATTGCCCATGAAACGTACCAAACAACTACTACAAAAATAGTAGAAGAAAATCTGTTTACAATAACTCCACCGATATCTGCAAAATGATAGGGTGCACGTTGCAGTTCCATAGCCAATCGATTGTTCCCTACTCGTTTGAATTTTTCTAAATCATCTTAGTTTTAGGGTATTAAGTCTTAGCTGCACAGAGCTCATCATTATCGATATAGGGACCAAAATTAACGCTCTATACTATCGTGATGTTATTATCGGTGAGCACTTATCGCCTGAATTCTTCATATTCCACCAGGACAGTCCAGCTCACCAAGCAGAAAAACTGTGGATCTGCTTTTAATAGAAATTCCAGATTTTATTTCATCTATTCTTTGCACCCCCCCCCCTTCCCAATAGTCCTGATCTCAATCCGACTATAAGATATGGAGCGTCCTTCAAGAACGTGTTTATGAAACTCATATACTCGTTAGCCATCTGAAATAGCTACTTGTGGAGGAATGGACTTGTTTTGATAAAATTATTGATCGGCCAATCGATGAATGGCGAGATCGTCTTAGAATCGAGCTAATGGCGGGCATTTTGAACATCAGCTTTTAAAAACAACAATTAACTCAAATTAATTTTAATGTTGATGTTTTCATATTTTTGTGAAATCGTAAAATTTAATTTATAAAAATAAAAAATAATACTTTGCATGTTGGAAAGTTCGGATTTTGTTTGTCTAACTTTGAATTACATATCCTTGAATCCTCTGGATAGAATATAATCAAATTTGAAAACATTGATAATTTATCCTTCTGCCAATCTATTAATTTTTATTGAATTAATAGATTTAATACTATTGCAAAAAGGGTATCGGTTCAATTCGGACACAGTGTATAATACCCTACCCCATATATTTCTAGCCTTTCTACCTTCCCTCTAAACCATAGCTACCTATTTGAGTAGGTCACTTTAGGAGAAAAGAAATTGTTTAAAACTGTGAATCGAACTAGTGACTCAACCGAGATGATATTTCTGAGCTACCAAGCCTCTTCTTACACTTCCCATTTTGGAACAATATTCTTTTCTGGAACTAATCTAGGCTCGATTCATTGTTTTTCTAAAACCAACCGGCGTAAGCGGTTAGATAAGGGTTATAGGGATATAAGATTGAAAATTAAGGGGTTAGGTTAAGATAAAGATAATTTTTTTCATTTAAATCTAAATAGTTAAAAAAATACATGAAATTATAAATGATCAAATAGTAGCTATAAGGCTATTTCCAAACAACATATTTCCAAACGGTTTTTGAGGCATGTTTTCAATAATTTTTATTATTTCCAAAGAAAGGTTAATAATTTGTCGAATTAATTTTTTTATATAATATATAATTTTTTAAAAACGCTACGATTAGGATTTCAGACGCCATCTAATCGTTAATAAAAACTAAACCTTGGTAATAAAAAAAATCCGAAAACATGCCTCAAAAATCACTTTGAAAAATGTTATGTTTGGAAATGGTCTAAGATTAATTTAAATTGAGGAATTTTTTATAAAAATCCCCTTCCCATTAGACATTTCTGGCTACTTGCCTCAAATAACTACACTTTTACCATGAAACTATATGCATATAAGAAAAAGGAATGAATGTTGCTCTAATCAAAAATCTCATTATAAGATGGTTATGATGATTTGAGTACACTGAAAGTAAAATGGGGAATATGTAATTGTATAAAATAGTGTTGAACTAATCGGAAAAATTTATAGAAAAGTGCATTAAAGTAATAAATATAATTGATATCGAGAAGAATGAAACTGACGACCACAAATAAATGCTAAAATATCATATAAAACTTTAAATTATAAAATTTTAAATATAAGTTTTGAAAGATAATATTAAGAAAATGGTGTAATCTGGAATAGTTCTTTTTAAGAGGTTATCTTTAAAAAAAACTAAATTATTTGCTCCTTTGACCTCTGATATTTAATAAATATGTCTCAGTCCTTCTGGTTTTATATTATTTATTTATTTTTAATTAAATTTCTTAGATGTTTTGGTAAGATATTAAACAACGGATCTTAGAATTAATCTTTCCCCGCAGAGCTCAAATCTTTGTAACGATTAGATTTTAAATTATTATTTATCATAAGTTAGAATTATTATATAATTATATTTAGAAAAAGTGTGTAAATGAAGACGTTATAAACTAGATCAGGCTTAGTTATAACGTATCTAATAGTAACGAATACAAATAATGTTTAGTTCGAATAAGAATAAAGAATTATTAGATTTGAATAATCCGAATAAAGAATTATTCGACTAATTATTAGCATAATCTAATTATTCGACTAATTATTAGCATAATCTAATTATTCGACTAAGCTTAATTCGAATTATATCATTCAAATAAATGATCGAATATTCGATATTTCGGAATAATTAATAAAATATTTTTTAATTAACTAAATTGTTTGTTTTTTCTATTAATCTAATGGGTGCTTGTAAAAGCCTTTTCTTAGTTGGAACTAATTTGCTGTCATAACTTCATGCCTTATAAAGAAGAAACAATAAGAAGAAATTAATTGTATTAAATATTGGTTTGACATTATAAATTAAATGAATATGCATTTTAATTTCAAATAACTTGATCGCAAGTTCTTGATCATTACATTATTATAAGCAATTTTTCTGTTCAAAATTAGATATGCAATAAAATAAATTAAAAATTCTGTTAATATATTTTCATATTAATATAATATTTTTAAAAAACGAATTATTCGAATAATTCGATCGAATAAAAATAGTAAATTTTTCTATTTGTTTTTGAAAAGGCCTACACTAGATTAAATCAAGTTTGCCATTCGTAAATATTTTGGACTATGTTAGGCAAATGTAAAGTAATATATTAATATTTGTAATATCTTGTAAAAATAATTTATAATTATTTACTTTAATTTATTTAAATATTTACAAAAACTTGACATGATGTCCATTTATTTATCAACGATAAAGGTTTATTAACGTTCATAAACTGTTATAACGTGAGATGGGCAACTCGATTGCAGAATATTTTAACAATGGCTAAGTTGGGTGCATTGGCTTTTATTATGACTCTCGGACTTCTAAATATCTCCAAAGGTTAAGGAAAGAACTTATTTAATGAGTTACATTTTTTTATCATAAATTACAAAATTGGAAATTATAAACATAAACATTTTAATCATAACTACCCCGATTCATATAAGTTTGGCCACCTGTAAAATTTAAATAATTACTAAAGTTAATAAAATTCTTTTTATTAATATAAAATATGATTTTTATTTAGAATTATAATATAAATAATTTCACACTTTGGCTATGCGTTACCGTTAAGATGAAAATCAATTTGAATGGAGTTTGCATGCCTTGCGCATCTGAATATTTCTTACTTTTCTTAATGATTAATTACTTATAGGCATCCTTTATCCACTCTGAAAACATATATTATATTTTCATTTAATAAAATTTATTTCTATCATTCTGTCATCGATGACTTATATTCATTGTTTTAATCATAATCTACATTGCATCTAGTGATTTAAAATTGCTGTAAATATTTTCCTACAATTCTTAATTTTTTTAATCACATATTTCTTATTTAATATAACCAAAAAATATGCTAGTATTACATTTAAGCGACTCTTAGACCATAGATGGACTAATCTAGAAACATCTTGTTTAATTTATAAAAATTTTAAAGGTATCAGCTGTGTATTATTTTTATTTTCTTATAAGTGAAGTTTCCACAAATGATTCAATGCAAGCTTCTTGTTTTGTTTTAATTTATTAATATTAATTTATTATTTTCGCCTTTTTATATAATTCAAAATTTTTATAAAAAAGAAATTTTATAAAACAGAAATGATTATTTTTTAAATGTAAAAAATGAGGCAAAACATTGAAAAAGCTAGTTTGAATCCTTTCAGTAAAATTTATAGGCTAAGGGCACCTAAACCTCTTTTAAAAATCGTAGATGCATCTATGAACCTTAGAAGAGTCTCTAAGCCATAAAATCAAATAGTTTAAATTTGATAAAATGTGAAATTTGTAGCTAATCTTATATTTATAAAATTAAAATTAATTATTTTTTAGAAATAATATTATTTAATAAAATTTATAATTTTTTAAAGCCTTGTGGGATTTTTAGTGGGTTTTTCGATTTAACTATTTCGTAAAGTTATGGTATTAAACTTATTTATAAATATGAAATTTGTCTTTGCGGTATATACCAAAAATTCTTATTAATATTTTTATTTATTTAAATATAATTAGGTAAATATGAATATCTAAAAATTTCGACGTTATTTAAAGGAACAACTGTTGACATCGGAAAACTATCTTTGTCCTTCTATTCCGCCTTCTTTTCATATTCCGGATGGTTTATTTTAATTTATTTATATTGAAGGCGGTATTTACATGAAAAGAATTAAGCCTTTTTCTTCTTAGTTCAATTAAATAGCTATCATAAACTAAGATATACCATGTTCCATAGTATTTTTAAATATATTTGACTAAATCACATTCAGAAATGTTATAGATATAAATAATTTCTCTTAAAATTTTACCAACTATAATTTAAATGTATTTAGAATGCCTCTTATGGTTTCATTTTTACTTTTTAATTTCGCTTAAAATTTTACCAAATATTATTTAAATATATTCAAAGTTTCATTTTTAGTTTTTGAATTTTATTCTCATTTTTTTGTGTCTTACTTTATATTGGAAGATTATGGAGATATTAAAATATTTTCATTAACCTTCAATAAAGGTTCAATATATAAAATATTTTATAGACGTTTCGAATGGACCAATAAAAAGTGATGTGATATTTGCATAGATAGTTATATTTAGAAGGGCACACCTTACTTATTGTTGTAATATGTAAATTTCAAATAAATCGACTGTTTAACAGAAAAACGAAACTATTTATTAGATTATTTGAGTAAAGACGATGCAAATGAATGGGAAAGAAAAATATATATAATCGGGAATATTTTACTTAAAAGAAAGAGGGATCATGATTTTACGAACTTAATTTTTAATCTTTTAATTTTAATTTTTTTATATTATTTTAATTTCTTATTTTAGTTATGTAATTAGTATTTATATCAATTAATAAATTCTCAACTACCACTTTTGTTACCGAAACTTAATGTTCTATGGACATATTCAGGCAATTAACTTTTCTCTATATGACAACTTTTCATTATTTTACACTTATATTTTACTTAAACTATTTTACATAATGTATAAAATACTTTATTTTTTAGGAATTATTTAAATTTTGCTCTTGAAGAAATCAATAACCCATACAAGTTCCAATATATATATATTTATGTATAATAATAACTTTTATCGCGAATGTTTATCATAGCGAATGGATTTTATAGAATATTTCTTATATGTCATATTTTGTGAAAATATGTAAAAATATAAGAGATATGATAAAATCTCCGACGTAATTATTTATATAAGTAACATTTTTGGAAAATCTATTCAATGATTTAATTTTCTTTTAACCTTAATCAATTATATAATGATTTGAGTTTTATTTGCAATATTTTTTTATGCTACCCTATCTATTTCTTCGTGACATAAATTCGAGGACTTAGAGGGATGATTTACCAATGATTTTTTAAAATTCGCTTTGATATTATTACCTATATAGAAATCTTATGCTAAAAATATTTACAGGCATGTCCCACTAAGTTATAAATTTCCCCAGCAAAAAAGTATAAATACATTTTTCTTTTTTTTCTCTTTAGCTTTCACCTTTTCTGGTGGTAAGCTCCTTCAACATCTCTCTCCACTTTATGTTATTCATACAATCTCTTTTATCTAATTTATACTTCTTCATATTGGCTCTGGCCCCATTGAAGTTTTGGCCTTCCTCTTTTACGTTTGCCCATCACTTCCAAACTCTCAACCTTCTATGTAGTTCATAGGCCTTCTTTTCATTGTGTGCCCATACCACCTAAGTCTGTTTACCATTAACTTAGTCTTAATGGGAACTACCTTTAAACTACTTAGTATTCTTGTACTGCTCACTTAATCCTTTCTTGTTACCCCAGCAATCATCCTGACCATTCTCATCTCCATAGTTTGTAGACTTATCTCGTCTGATTCTTTGGTTGGCCATGTTTCCGAACTGTATGGAACTGTAAATTTTTCCCTTTAATTTGTGTGGGATTTTTTTGTCAAATAGCACTCCAGATAAAAATCTTCACTTTAACCACCCTTTATTAATTTTACTTTTTATCTCTTTTTCATATCCTGTAATTCTTATATATTTTTCGGGAACCTTTTTGTGGCGTAGCGCCCACCAGAAGTTTTCTTGGGATTCTATCGAAGGCCTTTTCTAGATCGAGAAAGACTGTAGCTTTTTGTTCTTTTCCCTGTATTTATTTGCCTAATTGCGTGGTATCATGTTGATCTTCCAGGCATAAAGCCAAACTGACTCTCTCCTATTTCGATTAGTCTCTTAATCTTTTTTCTCTTATTTTTTCGTATAGGTTTAGACAGTGTGACATTAGTTTTATGCCCCTGTAATTTTGACAATTGTGTGGATCCCCTTTATATTTGAAGATAGGAACTAGATAGCTCTGCCTTCATTTTTGGGGAACCTCTTCATTTCCAAGTATTTTATTGTACAGATTTGTGAGGAGATGTATTCCATCATCTCCTAGTGCTTTAAGGCTTTCTATTGGAATATCTTCTGGACCCCTAGCTATGTTGTTTTTCATATGCTTGAGGCATGTGATTATTTCTTGTTCTGTTATAGGTTGTACAAGATTTTGACATGGGGAGTGTTCGTCTAGATGTAGTATGTGGAGATTAAAGTTGAGAAGCTCCTGAAAATATTCTTTCCATCTATTCATTATTTCCTTTTCCTTTATTATCAATTTCCCATCTTTATTCTTGATTACTTTCGGAGCTCCGTTTATATCCCTAGATTCTTTTCTCGCTGTTTGGCTAATCTTTATATTTTATTTTGCCCTTCTTTGGTATGTAGTTCTTCATACATGTCATTGTATGCCATAGATTTGACCCTAGCCACCGCCTTTGTAGCTAATCTCTTGGATTTTTTGTATCTTGTCTTGTCATCTGGGTTTTGGGATTTTTACCATATTTTATAAAAGGCTTTTTTCTCCTGTATAGTGGTTTTTACCTCTTCATTCCACCACCATGGTTCTTTGTATGATTTGTTACCTCCCCTTGTCAAGCCTAGTGTCGATTTGGCAGTGTCTATTAATCTGGATGAAAGGTCTGTCCACATTTTTTCACTGACTTGTGAGGAATCTATTTTCAATGTTTGCACTGATTGCAAAGGCATCTGTCATTGTTTTTAATTTGCCCCATTTGATGCATGGTTCCAGTTTTATCTTGTTTTGAGTGGATTTATTTGAGATGTGTAAATCCATGACTAGTAGCTTGTGTTGCACGACGATATCTTCTCCTGGGATGACTTTGCAGTCTATTACATCTTTTAATCTTCTGCGAGAGATTAGAATGTAATCTATCTGTGTTTTCCTTGTACCACATTCGTATGTTATTAAATGACTGTCTTTTTTCCTATAGTAGGTGTTGGTTAAGGCAAGGTCGAAGGCTTACGCAAATTTCAGTACATGCTTTCCTTCATCATTTCTTTCTCCATATCCAAAACCACCATGATGCCTTTTGTAGCTATCTCTTGCTTTCCCCACATGCGCATTTAAGTCACCATCAATTATGACTAGGTCATCCTTAGGGATTTCCATTACAACTTCATCAAGGATAGCTCTAAAGTCATCTTTCTCTTCTTCCTTGCAACCCGTTTGGGGAGCATATACTGAAAGGATGTGTAGTATTGATTGACCAATGCAGAGTTTTCTTCATTAATCTATCAGAGATCCTGTTGACTTCTACTACTGAGGAGGTTAGATCTTGACTGAGGATAATGCCGACACCGTTCCTATTGCTAACAATTCCATTATAGTACAATTTATACCCATCTCCAACCATTAAAGTCTTCTGATTTTTCCATTTCGTCTCTTGTATGCAAGCTATATCAACTTTTCTCTTGTTCAACATTGATGCCAATTCTCTCGTCTTACCTTTAAGCGTCCCAATATTCAAACTTGCTAATCTTGTCTTCTTTGCTTTGACCTTTACTTTACTTTTCACAGGATGGAGGTCTACACCCTGCGCGTCGCTTGGAGGAAACGCTCTAGCTTTCATATTCATACCATTTGTTTCCTTCATTTTGTTTATTGGACAGGTATCCTTAGAACCCGGCTGTCCAGGCCTGTCAGTGACCGGGATGCCATCTCTAAGCTTCGAAATTTATCTTACCATATGTCTTTACACATCAGTCATCGAAGAAAAACTTGAAAGTTTTTATGCTCCTTACCAGGATTTACCTTCGTCCTTCATCGTCCTTCTGTTTCTAAGCATACATCTAACCCATAAGGCCACCCCGGCGATACCAAAAAAGTATAAATATATAAGGGCAAATAAATCAAAAATAAACACTTAACCTGTTTTGCTATATGTGCAGGGCTGTAGCCAATAATTTTCAGCTAGGGGGGCCATCTGCTTACTTAGAGGGGCCACTATTTTTTTAAAATAAAACAAATAATTAAGCATTCGTAGAAATATTTTGCTATTTTTATTAAAAATTTTTAATGTAATATGAATACAAAATAATACTATTATATAATACGACGATTTTTAAATTATAACATAATTGAATTTAAGGATAAATTTGTTATTTTTTTTCCATAAGCCAACAATACTAAATTTTGCTTAATTTGAACTTCATCGACTCTCTAGTACTCGATAGAACTCCTCTCTTTATTATAGAGAAAGAAGCCATAGAAGAAGCCGTTGGTACCCCAATGATGATGGCTGCTGATTAGCATTTATACAATTCTTTAAATGCATGATGATATTTTTTAAAATATTTAAGGTATTTTCAAAATTATGTGTTTAACTTCTACAGCTAATTTTTTGGCTATTTCATTTCTTCATGTAACGTTTCCATATTTAAGTTTAATAATTATTCTAACCCGGTCATTTTATTCGATATAAAATAATCAGGGTCAAAGGGAGACAATGTATTGAAACATGATAGAAGATTATAATCTTTTTGTATAAATCTATCTAAAAAAAGATCAACAAAGTAATCCATAATTTCATAATTCCTTTTTAAAGAACTCCAATTGGATTCTTATTCACAATCAAATTGTAATTTGGTCTCGACTTAAAAATCTTGATAATTTATAGGCGTTTTACGTACGTTTGATGATTTTTGGGGAGTGAGATTATATTTTGTTAAAAATTCTTCAGCCTTAATTCTAATCAAATCAATAATCGCTTCTTCTATTTTTAATATATTGATTGTAGAATCAATGCAATTTTTAGTATCCACTAGATAAGTACATACTGACTGTAGACACTTATATAGTGGATTCATTGCTATTAATATCTCATAAATTATTAACGCATTGAGATATATGACCAGAGGCTTCCACTGAATTATGAGTGAATCCCTCTGAATTAAGAGTTCTATTAGAAAAGTAAAATAATACTTCACCAATAGCCTCAAAATTATCATAAATGATGCGAGGTGTTTCTAAATGACCAATCCACCTCTGGTCTTCTTAAGAGTATGGCCTGCATATTTACAGGATGATACGTTATAGCGCCTAAAGATTATACAATGCATTGGATAAATTAAAAAATACTAGAAATGATAACAATATTATTATACCAATTTTGAACCACATGATGCAACATGTGGTTGTAGCAATATATAAAACGAACCTTTTTATTAATTTTTTTTGAAGCAGGATTTGCACTCCTCGGCCAGACATAACGTTTGCACCATCATATGCCTGGCTTATTATATGCATTGAATTATGATTTAACTCATTAAGTTGCTTTAAATGCATAGTAATGCTTTCAGCAGAAGGATACTGTAAATGAATAATTCCTATTAAATTTTCATGGACTTCTCCAGAAAATAGAGCGAATAATTATGCTCAGGATTTCATAACCTGATGCATCTTTTGTCTCATAAGCCTTAAGACAAAAAAAGGCATCTCACTTTTGTTATATTTATCTGAAATATAATCAAGCATCATATCTGCCATAATAGATATTACTTCGTTTTGAATCTTGGGTGATGTATATCGGGTATTTTTGGCTTTAAATTTCATAATCTTATTTAATTCAGGATCTTTTTGGATGGTGTAAGAAAACATTGCTATAAATAGTCCAGAAGAATAAATTATGTTTCTACATTTGCAGCTCCGTAATTTTTGTTGAATAGCTCATGTAATCTAAGAAATAGATAGTAACGATTGCGGTTAATTTGTTATACCAAAATTGTTGTTATCTCAGTATTTTCTTCATAAATCTAAAATATTCACCACTGTTTTAAATAACTGGTTATATGGGGCATACTTAATATTATTTTGTCTATAATCGGGCCATTTTTAAAAATCAACCCAAATCGGGCTGTTTAGAAACACTACTTGCACAACAATTACCAAATTTTATAAAAATTTTATAAGACCCTTTTTTTTTTTTAATAAATATTTACGGAATGGTATCAATCTGTTTTCTTAGATTAGGTATATATATATATCATGACTTGAGTAACCACTTGATTAGCTTCAGAAAATGGCTATTTTTTATGTTTTGTACCCAGATCTATATCAGAGACCTTCATAAGATAATAATATTGTGATTGAACCATAATAAATAAAATAATTATCATTGAAATAAGTATTACAATTAAAACTTGATAATTAAGCGCTTATATAATGTTATACACAAACATACATGAAAATAATAAAATATTATAAAACAGGATAGTAAGAAATTTACAAACTAGACATGTTTTTTGAATAAATATTTAAAATTTATTTTAAAAATATAAAAATAATCAATTACAAAATTTTTTAATTAGGGGGGCCGGAAAAATTTATGGGGGCCAAAGATTTTTTCTAGGGGACAGGTTTAAGGGCCAAAATAATATTTTTTTTTTGGGGGGGGGGGGCTGGCTCCCTTTTTCCTCTGGCTACGGTCCTGTCTTGATATGGAAACTAAAGATCTCAAGCCCGACACAAGTTGCCTGCCCAGCTCATTTTTATCCTGCCCGGCCAGTTAAAATTATCTTATAAGTTCTCAACAACCCTAAAAAATTTGTACGGAATTTCCTGCACATTTATAATATCTATAAATGTGCTTTTCTACCAATGACAGTTAAGCCTCTTATATCTTTTTTCTATGCCCAACTATTTTTACAATAATTTTTTTATAAATCACTGTGTTTGATATCTGTATTTTATATTGGATATCATAAATAACTTGTTTAGTTCCCTGTTAACAATTAGACAGTCAAAACATATTCAAATCTAATCAAAATATTAGCTTTGAAATTCAAAAAATATATCAAAATGTTAATGTCCCGAGCTGTTATTAAAATCTTACAAAAACTCAGAAATTTGAAATACTCTGCCTGATTTATAAATATATATAAATAGCCACACCCGACCATGCCCAATTTATTTATCTAATTTCCTTGCTTGAAAATATTTATGTACGACAACCGACCGTCTCCGGTACAATTTTCTCGGCTTTTTGTTAGGCTTTTTTATTATTTTTTTGAATTTCGCGGGTTAGACTTTGCAGATCTCTAATAGGAACAACTCCATACCCATCTTAAATAAAGAAAATATCTATTTATTATAGTTTGAATGATACTACTATATATCCGAGGTAAAAATTTTAACCCCCCCCCCCCATTCTTTCCGACCCATATATGATTAAAATATATATTATATACACCCTTAGTTAGTAGTTTTATTTTATTTTTATATATATTACTGATTTATTCTCCGATGACTTTTATTCTTCCTACAGATTTTGTTTCCCCAAATTTTTAAAATAAAGTTTCTTTCCTCGCCCTGTGAGATTTTTTCACAGTATTTTTCTGTTTTTTTTTGATTTTTTTTCGTTTTATACTTTAACCTCATTATTTGAACGTTTTTTTCCACAAACTATTTCCCCATTGCCAATTCTCGTAAAAATAACAATACAGCGGGAATTATACTTAATATAAATTTTAACTAAATAAAATTGAATACAAGAATTTAACATAGCTAATATTTATAATTATTTTTATTGATAATTATATGTATGTTATGTACAATGCGCCCCCATCTGGGAGAAATAATTTTTATTATTTTTGGACAAGAGTTTTTAAGCAAAATATATCAAACTTGGAAAATTTTCCAAAGGATTAACAGTATTAAGAAAACATATAGAAACTACATTGTCATATTTAAGGTTTTATGCTCGAAAGCAAACGGACTATTTGAATTAACATTTACCCCATCAATCGCTCTACCTCTGTCTCTCCTATCTTTTTATCCTTGTTTTAAAATTTTAAAAATTATGAACAAAATTTTATTTTAATTTTAAAGGAATTTGCCTAGAGCAATTAACATATCCATACCTCTGATTACTATAGTTTATTTGTTGACAAATATTTCATATTTCACCGTTCTATCGCCCTTTGAGATGGAGACTTCCAAAGCAGTGGCAGTCGTAAGCATCTTTTTCTTATTGGAAAAAAATTTAAATGTTAATTGTTCATATTTTAATATAATTATAAAGACTTTCGCTAAAAACTCACCTGGAAGTTTGACTTGGATTATTCAACTTTTTGTATCTGCTTCTACGTTAGGAAGCCTGAATGGTTGTCTTTTTACTTCTTCCAGGTATATGCAATTTAGGTTTGTGTTAATAAAAATTTTTTAAATAAAGGGGACGCCCTAATGTCTTAAGAAGGAAACCCCGCCTTTAGTATTTCATCTCAATTTGTTTTAGAAATAGAACAAGAGGTCAGTGGTCAAATGTTTTTAATTTTTATAAGTTGTATGTTTTGCAAATCAAATTTTAAAATTATATATATCAGTGTTCTGCAGAAATACCAATTGCATGGTCCGGCTCGGATTTATAAAAAAAATTATGCAAATCCAAGTTTTTATCTTTAAGCCCGGCCCGGGTATTTAAAAATATTATTTAGACCTGGCCCGGACTTATTTAAAAACCCGGGTGTAAAATTTTTTTACGAACCCGATTTGTAAAATTTTTTAAAGGCCCACGTTTAAATAAAATTTTCGGAAAAAATATACCTATTCGGCATTTATATTTTCTAACAATCGATGAAATAGTTTTGAAATGAAAATAGGAAGTGTAAGAAGTGAATTTATGTAATAAATTATTCCATGATTCAACAATTTTTAATATATTTTTTTAAATTTTTATATACAACAGAGACCTGCAGAGGTGCTATTTGCACGGCGGCCCAGCCTGGATTTTTTTTAACATGATCGGCCCGGCCCTTATTTTTTTAAAATATATTATATTTATTTTTAATTTTTATAGGCAATAATGGCGATTTAAGATATTTGGTTTTAAAATATACGGCCTGGCACGGCCCGGGTATTTCTCAAAAAAATTTTTAGGTCCGGCAGCCCCGGAGTATTTGGGTCGGGCTACGCCTGATCGGGTCGGGTGACCAGGCCTGCAGATATAATATATAATAGTCGCAATTTAAAATATATTGCTTAATCTTTTTTTTTTAAATTTATGCCTCGGGTTTTGGGCTGGACCTGCAGGTCTCTGATATTTATATTAGAATAGTTTATATTTATAATTAAAATATTTTAGATAAAGATATTTAAAAATAAATTTTGGCAGGGTTTCAACTTCAATTTTACTATGCGCCTTTACAACTCAGATAAATTGATTAAATTTAAATATATAATAAAATATAGTTACTACTGTTGGCTCCAATTTTTATTTTTAGAGTTTACTATCATAGACTTATAATATAAATCAACTGCTCACTCATTATATTGATTCTGTGAAAATCATGAAAATATATAGAATCTTCCATTTCTGAACAAGAAAAGCTTAATTTATTAATAATAATATGTAATAATTTATATCTTTATAAATCATTTGTATAAATTAATTTAAAATCCTTTAGTTTGAAAGAAATATAGATGAATATGATAGGTATTTATATTTTATTTACCATAAAATTTCTAATGCAAGTTAGCGTTAGCCTTTTATAATATAAAACATTTTTAAAAATCAGGTCTTAATAAGAAGTATTGGTAGTACAGTGTTACAAATATCTTGGGAGGTTAAAACAGATACTTTTTTCCCACAAGGGAAGAAGTAAATTTTTATAAACAACTTGGTTTTGGACCTGATTGAAAGTTTTAAATAGAAAGGTATTAATATAAATCTTTTGGGTGTAATTTAAAGATGATAGTGGTAATTTTCTTTACTCAAAGAGGGAAAATAAAAATTTTTAATCAACTTGGTTTTGGACCGTATAAAAGATTTTGAGCATGATATAAGTTAAAACCTGCAAAATAAAAATTTTCCGCCTAAACCCGTCCTCCTGTGCCAATTTTTTTAGATCTAAGCCCTACCCATGGCCCGATACGGCCAGTTGTAAAAAGCATATAGTGAAGAAATTTTAAACTCAAAATATTAAGTTTATATACTCTATTTAAATGTTATGTAGTAAATTTATATATTCAGCAATGACTTTGATAATTTAATGATGTTATCTATTTGATTCTATTTATCACAAATTATTATAGGAAAATGTATAGAAAATATTTCCCATAATACATTTTTTTAGTTTTTTATTTCTTAAATTCATTTTAAACTAGTGATATTGAATTAGGTAAAAAGGACGAATAGGAAGGAAATTTAACGTTATTTTCTAGCTACAGGCCGGTATTTTCTTGATGTTATTACCTGTTTGGGCTGACGAGCCGGCTCCTTTGCCTTAAAATTGATAGATTTTGATTTCGATAATAACTTGATCGCATTTTTTTTATCATAAATTATAATATTTTTTCTGTTTAAAATTAGATGTGCAATAAAGATGTTAATAATTTCTGTCAATATATTTTCATATGAATTATTTTATAATATTAAAAAAAACGAATCATTCGAGTAATTCAAATCGAATACAAATAGTAAATTTATTATTCGTGTGAACAATTCTTATTGAAATTTAGTAATATCTGCCCTATCTAATTAAGTTAGAGTGCTAAAATTTGGCTTATTATTATTTAAAAAAAGACTTCCCACCCCCTTCCTTTACTAAACTTTTTAAGCCATGCACCTAATCTACCCTTCATAAGTCGCAAAATTTAAGCAAAGTCTGATAGCTATTGAATTGCCCAATATTGAGTATTTATTTATATTTCATATCTTTTTTGATGTTATTTAAATCTTTTTAGATTATTCTTTGTAGGAGCTCGAGCTCGTCATTTACCAGAATGTGTGGCAATGATTAATATAAACAAATTTAGCCCTATTCCAGCTATACTATTTACGGTAAAAAAACAATTAAAGAAGAGAGGAAGGGAGAGTAAATAGAAAACTAAAATTTAATAAAGAACTCTCCTCTCAATATCATGATAAGATTTTTTTTTATAGGGAAAGTAGCATGAGGGGAGTTAATTTAGATAGCAAATCACTTATTTAAATTCAGTATTTTAAAATATTATAATGGTATAAAATATTAACTCAAATAACAGTACAATTTAATTTTAACCCATTTGCTTAAATTATTTATAGGCTTTGATGTCAATATTGATGTGCATATTTGAGGATATTTTAGCACTCATAAACTATTTGAGTTTTGTGGAATCGGTATTTGTAGGCTTTTCGGTTGCAGCTCTCTTATGGTTAAGATTTAAAAATCCTGAGATGTATCGACCTATCAAAGTATAACTACTTAATTTATTTTATATAAATAATTTAGAAAATGTTGTTATTTCAATTGTTTGTAATTCTCGAATAATTAGTTAAATCTAATCCTGCCTGTTTCTATAATTTATTTATTAAATTTTAACTACATAGGTCAATCTTATTTTACCCGTATTATTCTTCTTAATGTGCATATTCTTGGTACTTCTCCCTCTTGTAACTAGTCCAGAAATTTGTGGTATTGGACTCTTAATGATCTTAGCCGGTATTCCCATATATTATTGCACTATTGAGTTTAAGAAAATGCCAAAATGGATTAAAAATATCTTTAACAGTAATTAAAAAAATATAGATAAAAATCTTTAGAATTATTTTTAGAACAACTTACGATATTCACTCAAAAGCTATTATATTGCTTACCTGAAAAAGAAGAATGAAATTTATATCATTCAAACCCTATTTTATTTTGAATTCGATTTACAATATTAAATTATTATTAGTTTATGCTCAATTAATGGATTGATTATTCATTAAAAATAAAGACTTATTTTTACAATGTGTTATCTGACTATGCATATATCTCAAAATTTTTATAAGTATTTCTTAAATTAAGCTGTTAATTTTTCTAAAGGTGCTGCTGAACTAAAATTTAAAAAAGTAATAGGGAATTTTTTCTTGAGAATTATCCGCGATTCATAAATTATAATGTTAGGTATTTTTTTTCCTCTTTAAAATAAACAAAAATATTTTTTGTACAAACTTGTGATATTCAAATTAATATTTTTATACAAAAATGTCTTATGCAAATTAGAAGAATTATATATTACATATGTTGGTTAATTTCATATTATAAACTATGTAAATTTTAATTTTTATAGGAAAATTATTTTTTTTTTGGAGTTTGGATAAATTCTTCTTCTACGTTTTTTTTAACAATTTTTATTTAACTTTTAACTTTAAATTTTTCATTTTTTAATTATTAATATTTTTTTATAATTTCATTCTTTTTTATATTTTTAATAATTTTTTTTTTAATTTTTATTTTATTTATACCTTTTACCCAACGGATTATAATTATGATTATTGGATTAATAAAGATTATTAAAGGGATTATATATTATTAATTAGAACCTTTATTATTTTAATATACACTTTTCTTCTTTACAAAGGTTACACCAAACTTCGTTTTTACACAAACAAACGAAATTTTTTGATTAAGAATTTTACATTATATATGAAGTATGAGATGTTTTGAAAACAACTCTAAGCCTACCCGATTAACCACTTACGGCTAATTAGAAGTATTTTATGATTTAAGGCTCTGGAATAATTTTTGGCATATGTTTTATTAGCCTAACATTAACAGTTATTATGGCTAAAAATAATTGGCAGTCGCCATTTTATCGAATAATTAGTTGGTTAAATTAATGAAAAATTGGTCGCCATATCAATCTATATTGATTTTGTTTTAATTAACAATCGCTCAATCCTGGAGTGATGGTAAAAAATTATTTATTGTAATCGATTTATCGCATCCATCTTATTTGGTTTCATATTTTTCAAAAAATGTCTTAAGTCTTCGTTATTAAATTACAAAAATATTAAAGCTACAGCCAGAGAACAAAAAGTCATATGTTAAAGTACCATAAAAAATTAATTTTTTATATTGACGATAGTAGGGGGGGGGGGGATAGATAATATTCTAAATAAAATAATCTCAATCATGCGCAAAAATATTAAAATTTAAAAAACATATAATGAGATCCTAGGAGACTAAGATAGTTGTATCGAGACACGGCGATTTTAGTTGATTGTTATATTTTAAAAGAGGATCCATGATCCCCATTCATTTGAGAATTTTTTTACCTAAAATCATAAATAATGATAGCCCAAGGGTAAGAACCCATTGGTGGAAATAACTATTGGAATTAAGTGAAAATCGGAAATGTGGTACTTTCTAATTTTTAATATTTAGGCTGTATAATGACTAAATCAATGGTTTGGGTTAGAGGAAAACTGGGAGAGTGAAATCCCAAATGAAGTGTTTTGAACCAATGGTGACCCTATCTGGTCCTTTCCCATCACATAGGGATAGATGAACGGGTTTCAGGAGATTTGAGCAGTTGCCCAACCCCTTCGAGAATTATAGAGTTATTAGCTCTGGTTTAGAATATAAACAGGTTAGACATGTCGGACCTTCAGATAGATACCTTATCGCACCCTTTACATTCAGTTGTTCCTACAACGGGAGGGGTGGGGGGTCTGAATCAACTGCTTTTTAAAATTTGAATGGGGTACTTTATTTCATTTTTACACCCATCCATAACGCCAAAAAATATTAACCAAAAAATATACAAATTCTTAATTAATATTTGACGCATAATATAAGAGATGATAAATGGACAGACCATAATAGAAAAAGACATGGTGGGCAAAGTTTTAACAATATAAAGAAACAATTTGAAATAGTAGCTTTTAAAGACATTATTGAACTATTTGCAAATTCTGAACCTGTCCGCAAATTGTAAAAAAATGAAGAAAAAAGAAGGGAGAAAAAATAAAAGGATTATAATCCAATTTATATTCTAATATAATGTTTCATAATAATATAAATATAAAAAAAATTCAAAAAGAGAATAGGTGTTTTTCAATAATAGTTGATGGTACATATGATGTTTCGAAATTAAGCTGTAGCTTTGTTAGTAAGTTTTATTGAAAAGGGTAACACAACTGGTCTTGATATATAAAAAATATAATATGCTGGGTAATGTATGATGGTGCTTCAAACATGAGCGGAAGAATCATAGAAGTACAGGCTTTGATTAGAGTTGATATCTCAAAGGCAGATTATTTTGGTGTTATTGTCATCGATTTATCTAATCATTTTGTTCAATTGTGCAAATCGATAAAGGAACTAAGAAATGTTTTAGGGATCTTAGACGAGATTCACGTGTATTTCAATGGCGTTAAAAGATATGCAGTGATCAAAGCATGTCAGAGTGAAGTGACAAAATCGTAACAATTTTTACCCATCAAGAATCTCTGACAATATTATATTATTTGTTTAGATATAAAATTTTTTTATATTTATAGTAGATGGCTATCAGCATATAAAGCTATTGTAAAAAAAATTCATTTTATAATTCCTTGAGGACAGCTTTGAAATATTTAAAGGATTCTGAAGATTCTGCTACTTCTATTATAGATAGTGCTATTGTTTTTAGAATAGAAAAATTTTATTCTATTTTATCACTTTGTGTATTGGATAAAATATAGTTGATAGCAAGCTTGGCCTGTACAAAATTCCAAACTATTTCGAAGGATATAACAATTGCAATAAATCAAACTCAATTGGCAAAAGATTGTATGATAAATTTGACAAGCATAATTTAAATCATTGTCTGGTATCATTTTTTAATCCTAATAGATAATAACACTGAATTTGTGAATGTTATTTCAGAGGCAGAAGATTTTATGAAGGGGAAAAATCTACCTTTTGATCTTTAAAGTTATAAACTTCATGCATTACAGTCCAAAAAAGAGATTTATATATGCTTTCATTATTAAATATAATATTTTATTTAGCTATGAAGCCAGTTTATGCTGGACTCATGTACTGCCGAAAAGGTGTTAAAAAATAATTAGCCGTTTTTGTTGAGGGGGGGGGGGGGGTATTCTGTTTCGATCGCTCAGAAAGTGTAGGGTTTATTTACATTTATGGAGTTGACGTAGGTCAAAGCAGTGTCTATACCCTAGGGCCACCTTCAGCTCCTCGCCGGGTAACAAAAAGACAAAAATTGGCAAATGGGACAGCTTCAAGCCATTTATGGCCAGAGATTTGTCCCATGTAGGAGTGTCTTCAATGGAGAAATTAATCCTCACCAATTTCTTAAGGCTAACAAAATTTTATTTATTATATCAATTTTAAGCAAGGATACAGAACAAAGACATTTTTTGTGCCTAGTTCTATTTTACCGTTTGGGTGAAAAAATTTGTTCCACCCCCGTTCTGTTTCACGCTTTTTTGAATGTTATGGAGAACGTTTATAATTAAAAATATCTAATTTTATTTCTATTTAACTTATAAAATTTTTTATACACTTGTTAATATAATCGAACAGATTTCATTGTTTTTTTATTTTACATTATGTTAACTTAAATTTTACCTTACGGATTATTTCTTTCACTTAACATTATTTATCCAATAGTTTCATTGATTATTATATTACTAAATTGAATTTTTAAAAAGTATAATATAGAAATAAATTTATTAGATTTGTAGTTGTATTTTAAAATGAATTAAATCAAAATAAATTTCGTTTTATTATTTATTATTCTATCATACACTCTCAACTTTAGCAACATTACAATTTTTATGATAAAAATTAATAATTGTATCTAACTTACCTAAATATGAATATTAATTTAGACATTCTTTAAAGAACTATTATTTCGCGGTAATGTTAATACAAATATAAGTGTTGAAAAACACTTTCCAACACTTGCTTGGTATAAAAATTTAAAATTCCAAGCTTTTATTTAATATTGATTTTATAACAAAATATTTAAAATTATTCTAAAATTAAAAAAAAGATTTTATAATCTTAAAATCATATAATAATATTAAATGATCAGGGGCATCGCTAGCTAGAACTTTGGGAACTAAAGCGCCCTCTTTTTCAAAATCCAATTTTATAAAATGGATTAGCACCTATTTTTTTCAATTAGCAATGAGTTAATATTTTATTTAAATAGCATTCGTACGGGCCTATTTTAAATATATTTTTATTATTTTCAGGTGCGTAAGCAGGAATTTTTTGTGTGAAAGGTGGGGGAGGGGGTGAGGTAATTAGATTTTTTTAAGGTAAAATTATTGTTATTTAAAAATATCAAGCATAAATATATTAGGACTAATAACTATTGTGAATTATAAAAAATTTAAATATAAACCGGCATATAAAAAACTATAAAACTCCTCAGTGGTAGAAGTCAACAGGATCTCTGATAGACTAATGAAAATAAAACTCTGCATTGATCAATCAATATTGGTCAATCAATCTAAACATTCTTTCAATATAGGCTTCTCAAACGGGTTACATAGAAAAGAAAAAGATGACTAGAGCACCTAGTCATAATGGAGACTTAAATGCGCATGTGGGAAAAGCAAGAGACAGCTACAAAAGGCATCATGGTGGTTTTTGATATGGAGAAAGAAATGATGAAGGAGAGCATGTACTGAAATTTGGGCAAGCCTTCGACCTTACCTTAACCAACACTTAATATAAGAATAAGGACAGTCATTTAATAACATATGAAAGTGGTACAAGGAAAACCCAGATAGAT